TGAACAGGATGTAGGTAAGGGTGATGGAAATCTAGAAGAGATAATAGAGAAGACAGACAGTGACTATCTGTTTTGATGGACAGTCAGTGTAGTGGGCGGACTGTTGATCCCACAAACCTCTCTTCTAAGTTTGTCAGCAGGAGTGGAGGTACACCAGAGGTCTGGAAGAGCTTCTCATCCACCCACTCCCGGTTGAATGGAGAATTGTGTCTGTGTGGCTCGAGGGTGGACTGGGTCCAATAGAGAGTTGTGTCACTGTGATTTTCCTTCAACAGAGGACTTGCTACACATTTGCCAGAGGTGTGGCTAGATAGAGCTCTCCAGCTGTGAACCCCGGGGTCCACCTCAGCGTTTGCCCCAAGATTCTGCTTTTCTTGGTGAGTCCTCACTCAGTGACTGAAGAAGGTGGTCTAACTGAGGTCACACACTTTTTGAGGTAGCTTCTGGCTAATGGGTGAGTAAGATGCGGTAGCCAAGGTCATGCTCCTCTCAGAATGTCATCAACCAATGACCAGCAAGGTGATGGTTGCAGAGTCTAACCATTCCCACCTAACATAGGATCCTCTAAAAGCCTGTCTCAAAAGATGGACGATGGTTCTGAATGCTATTTGTATAATTTCAGTGTTTCCCTTCTTATGAATACAAAATTCCTTATGGTTTCTAAAGATGATTCTTATTCTGATGGTAGGGTGCTATTCATAAAGTTTTGCATGAGGAATCAGTGGGAAGAAAAGGAACAGATAAAGAACATATGGAGTGGAAAAATTAGCAGAATTTTGTACAAATGAAGTAAAACAATATATAACTTGGTTTTAAGAAGGAAGGGGTTCTAGAAATGCATGATGAACACTTTAAACACAGGAGGAGGTGAGAGACATCCTCCTATTATGCATCTATTGTAGAATTGTTCATCATATCAGAACTTTATCTCTTATAGGTGAGCTGGCATGCTATAGGCTACGGCAATCCCTGGGCCCAGGGGCTGGTGTAGCACCTACTTACCTTCCATGTCTCCCAGCCTGTGTCCTGGAGGGAAGTGTTCTGCAGAGAGGCTTCTGTCTTGGGGCTTCTCTGGTCTCCCTAGGAACCTGGAGGAACAGCCGTCAGGCTCAGCACTGTCAGCATCGTACGTTATTAAGATAACAAAAGATGCTCATCTACTCCATTTTCGCTCTTATTGAAAATCCTCCGACGATTGTTCTTTCTACAAACCTGGGCATGATAATGAGGTTTTAAATCCCTCAAACATGCTCTAAAAACAGTTAATGGCTCTGTCGGTGTGACCTTTTCAGTGTGGTATAATTTATGTGGCTGGTTACCTTGGAAATAGCAAGCAGGAGGGATGAGGTGGGCCATCTCACAGGCGATGTGAACAGTTAACAAAACGCCCGTCTGCTCCTTCCTAACAGACTTCTGATGTTAAATGGCTGAACCAGGATGCACTGGCTGTGGGATGCTCCAGGACAGAGATAACCGCAGGAGCAGAAAAACACACAGCCTGTGTTCCTCAAACATTTTGTCCTCATTGATACAGTTTTACTAAGAGGGAGGCTAAATTCTCTGTTTGGTAGTCTCAGTTAATGTTCATATATATCTATAATTAAAACAAACATATATATAAAAAATATATTTGTTGTTTGTTTATTTTAAATGTCTGGAGATTACCGTTTAAATACCATATACTTTAAAGGATTTAATTATAGCTTATGGGATATTCAATTGGAAAATAAACAGGTTAACACTTCAGAAGCTGACAAGAATTATTTTGCTTTAGGGAAATCCAGCAATTATATTATTTCTGAAAATTTGACTGTTGCCTCTTACGAACCAGAATGAGCCAGCTTCGCTTCTACAATTACACCACTGCTTATGCCAACCTAGATTATCAATGCATACGTTTTGTAAATTTGGAAAATGGTATCTCAGTTGTGTTTTATTTGCATGTTTTTGGATAGAAATGAGATTAAGTATCTTTTGATATGATTAAAATGCTTTGTATTTCCTCTTTATTAAATGTTCCTTTACTGTTTTGTCTTAAAAAAAACTGGACTCTTCATATTATTTTAGTAGATCTGACTCTCAAAGGTGATGTAGGAGTAAATAAGAGGAAAGTAAGAGATTGGCTCATTCTAGCTCCTAATTTTGACGGAACAACCAAAGGTGTGGGATTAACCAAAAAGTGCTGTGGGGATTAGATACCTTCAATACACTGTAGCGATATCTGTGCTAAATACTAACATTCGAATACCTGGGATTGGTGCTGAAATGTGCAAACACAGGCAGAGATGCAAAGGGAGCATTTGAATGGATCACCTGCTATTTCTGCTTTCTCACTGGTGCTCTTGTGTCTGTGGTATTCCATCCTCTGGGAATCATCTTCTTCTGTTTCTTCCTTTAAAACGCATTACTCAATAAGCATGTGTTGATTGCCATCTCTGCTAGGTGATGTTTTGTGTCCCTGGCACACACCAGTGACCAAAGTGGACAAAATCCCTACTCCAGGGAAGATACTGGACCTTACTTGTCTGTTAGAGGTTTCACAGCCTTTGGAGAGAGATGTGGAATAACTGTAGGTTTGGAGCAATGGGGAGCCCTGTGAGCAGCCCAAACCTGATGTTGTCTCCAAAAGTAGTCAGGTAATCTTGGGCCAGCCTTGTCACTTTGCTAGGCCTTAGTTTCTGCATCTGAAAAAGGAGATTGTAGGACCCATTTTTGCTTGTGATTCTGGGGAGAACTTTTCTTAGGCATGGTATCTTTTTGATATGCAGTTATACTTGTTCATGCTTATCCTCCACCTATGTACACGTGTGAGATGTTCTGCAGGCCTAGGGGAGAAAGTCATTAAGTGACTATTTGCTAAATAGGACGATGTGAAGGAAAACTCCTTCTAACCTGCTAATTAGACAGCTCCCTCAGAAGGCTGAAGACAAAGCCTGTAATGAAAATGCTATCCATCACTTGCATTCTCCAAAATTGCGGTTTAAAGGAGTGAAAAATATTTATACTTTTTTTTTAAAGCCTTTGTTGATGTAAGATGATTATCTTACACCATACACAAAAATTAACTCAAAATGGATTAAAGACTTGAATGTAAGATCTGAAACTATGAAACTTCTAGAAGAGAATATAGGAAGTACGCTCTTCGACATTGGTCTTAGCAACATATTTTCAAGTATCTTGTCTGACCGGGAAAGGGAAACAATAGAAAAAATAAACGAATGGGACTATGTCAAACTAAAAATCTTCTGCACAGCAAAGGAAACCATCAACAAAACGAAAAGACAACCTAACAGTTGGGAGGAGGTATTTGCAAACCATATATCTGATAAGGGGTTAATCTCCAAAATATGAAGAACTCATAGATCTCAACAACAAAAAAACTAACAACCCAATTAAAAAATGGGCAAAAGACCTGAACAGACATTTCTCCAAAGAAGATATACAGATGACCAACAGGCAAATGAAAAGATGTTCAACATCATTAACTATCAGGGAAATGCAAATCAAAACTACAAGGAGATATCACCTCACACCCATCAGAATGGCTATAATTAACAACACAGGAAACAACAAGTGTTGGAGAGGATGTGGAGAGAAGCGACCACTCACACACTGCTGGTGGGAGTGCAAACTGGTGCAGCCTCTATGGAAAACAGTATGGAGATTCCTCAAAAAGTTAAGGATAGAACTACCATATGATCCAGCTATTCCACTGCTGGGTATTTATCCAAAGAACTTGAAAACACCAATGCGTAAAGATACATGCACCCCTGTGTTCATTGCAGCGTTATTCACAATAGCCAAGACCTGGAAGCAACCTAAGTGCCCATCAAGGGACGAATGGGTAAAGAAGATGTGGTATATATACACAATGGAATACTACTCAGCCATAAGAAACGATGAAATCCGGCCATTTGTGACAACATGGATGGACCTTGAGGGTATTATGCTAAGCGAAATAAGTCAGAGGGAGAAGGTCAAATACCGTATGATCTCCCTCATAAGTAGAAGATAAAAACAACAACAAACAGGCACATAGAGACAGATTGGATTGATGGTTACCAGAGGGGAAGGGGGGAGGGAGGAGGGAAAAAGGGATTATTAGGCACATGTATGGTGATGGGTTGTAATTAGTCTTTGGGTGGTGAACATGATGTAATCTATGCAGAAATAGAAGTATAATGATGTGCACCTGAAATTTATACAATGTTATAAACCAATATTACTGCAATAAAAACATAAATAAAATTTACAAAAGCAAATTATAAAACTAGATAAATAGTATACCATTTAAAAAAATTTGAACATTATTAATTTTTTATAAAATAAAAATTCAGATATGGAAAAAAGGCCTTTGTTGAGCACTTTGTGCAGGAGAATTTTAATCTATGATAAAACTCTACTGTTTAGTTTTTTTAAAAGATCCTATTTTATTTTTTTAAAAGATCCTATTTATGGTTGGCATAAAACTGTTTCTCGGTACCATATGGCCAACACTTACATATTGTCAAAAATGGCCCAAGAATAAAATTCGATGCATCTGAGATTTGATTTATGGAAGACTGAGTACATGTGGTGAGGAACACACACGCGCACGCGCACACACACACACACAGCATAAGAGATTATGTAATTCCAATACATGAGCCTTACAGTTTTGCTAGTCAGGATTGATTGGCACAAAATGTTTTTTCTGGAATTTATTTATCATCATTTGTCACTAACTAGTGCATGAAAATCACGTTAGCTACAAGCATACGCTTCCAGCTCTCTCACGTCCAGTGAATCAGAGATGTTGTGGTTTCAAGAACTGTCCTTGTTGTATATTTTTGTTTGTGGTCTTTTTTGTTTGTTTTGTTTTTTTCTGCTGACACATCTCAAGATCCCACTCCTTCCTCAAGGTTTCCAACAAATGTGATTCTGCCTCTGTGTACAGGAAGGAAATGAAGAGCAGAGTGGACACGGTGGTGAACTTCACCCACCAGCGCTTCACCTCCCAGGTAGAGGTCACTGTCTGGGCGACCTGCCTCCCCCTCAGATTGAGATCTCGGACACGGAGCTGAGCCAGATCAAAGGGTGGACGATCCCAGTGCCTCCAGCAGAAGGTGAGGAACCAGGAAGAGGACTGTGGATTCCACCCTCTCTGGACCCAGAACTTTTTGTAAAGATGGTAAAATCGGCCCTCGGGGACCCAGGGCCCAGAGAAGCAGCAGGCGCAGTGGGGAACAGTGGCCTGGACTGGGAGTTCAGGTGGCTCTGACTCTGCCACCCATCCACGGTGAGAGGCCGGAGTGTGGTGGTGAGGGCGTGGACTCGGGAGCCAGCCTTTGCCATCACTGGTAACTTGACGGGAGAAAATGACTTAACTTCTCTGGTGAGTTCTCTTACCTGGAAAGAGGAACAACCCTAGTACTGACCTGTAGGGTGGTTGTTAACATTCAATAAAACCATGCCTATAAAGCATCCTGCATGGGCTGGGCATTCGGGAACAGCTTGACGGTCGCCATTCATTCCTCGTTTCCCAGTTGTCCCTCCTTCTATAATTTTCCTTTACTACTTGTGGAAGGCAGCACCCTTTTACTGATGACGGTGTAATGGTGAGGAGCGTGGGTGCTGGAGTCAGCCTGGCTGAGTGCTAGTCCCAGTTACGCCACTTACAGCTCAGTGGCCCTAAGCAGGTTACTTAAGCTGCCTCTTCCTCAGTTTCCTCGTGTGTGATTGGGGATGATGATGGTGCTTTATGTTGTTCTAATAATTCAAGGGCTATACATATATATATATAACATATAAATATATATAATGCATATATAATACATATAAATATAAACTGTTTACATGGTATATAAATATAAAATATACATGAAATACACAATAATCCATAAAACATACATACAAATTATATATGTAATATATAGCATATATATATATAAACAATGCGTATAAATATGAACTATTTATATGTTATATAAATATAAAATATACATGTAATGCATAATAATCCATTAAAACATATGTAATATATATGTAATAAATGTATATATTAAAACATATATACATGGCCGTCGATTCTTGTCCATTCAGGGACCCAGAATCTGTTTGCTGGCAGCTGGATGGGAAAAGGGAATTGGGAGGAGGCACATACGTTTATTTTTAATCTTGGCCTGGAAATGGCTCATCTTTTTTCTCGCATTCTGTTGGTGGAATGATCACATGGCTGTGCCTGGGTGCAAGGGCATCTGGGACATCTGACCCGGACTAGAGAGCAGCCCCCCAGTATCCAGTGTCTGTGTAGATGAGGCACTGGGTTGTGGGGCAGCCTCCAGTCTGCTGCGTATTTCCTTACTGTTGTGCATTGTAAAGTCCTCTGGGCTCTCTGTGCCTAATTTGCTGCCCTGCCTGAGTCAGCAGGGGAAACAGTTCCCTGAGGTCACGTCCAGGATATGTGGGCAGGACCCCCCCCCCAAGCTCTTCAGTGCTCTGCCCTTTGGCTTCTGCTCAGACCATGGGCGTGTCTTTAACGGATCATTCTTTATGCCACGGACAGAAGCCAGAAGTACAGCTGAACAGCCACAAGGAAATGCAGCCATTTCCCTAAGGGGGAGCATTCAGCGTGTGCCAGTGGTAAAGAATTTCTGGGTTCGGGGGGAAAATAAGATACAACACAAATTTGAGGATAACGTGTTGTAACTGCTAAATAAGCTTCAAATTATTCAGCAATCTTTGCCTTCAAGGTGGTATATCAATAACATGCTTAAGAAAATATTCTTGTGGCTTGACCTTAGGGGTTGAATCTTACTTGAGGAAAAGCTTTTAAAGAAGGTGGAAGAGAATAGTTTCATCTTGGCCTAATACTAATGAGACCAGAAATGTATTTTTTTTTCAATGTCCTAACACTGAAACCTGGAGAGAAAGCACCGCGTAACCTAAAGGAGGGAAGGAAAAAAGATTCATAACTTATCTTTGGGTGATATCATAACTACATTGTCCAAAAATCAAAACTATAGTAAAAAATATACACGGTACCATTTCCACCCCACATCCATGTCTACCTTATTCCCTCCACCCCATAGATATTTATTTTTGTTAGTTTACTATTTATCCTTCCTTTGTTTATTTATTTAAATATAAGCAGATAGGAATTTATGTTCGTATCCTCTATGGTTTTTTTAACATAAAAGTTAGCATTCTCCATCTACAGTTCCATTCTTGCTTTTTTCACTTAGCAGCATAGCCTGGAGTCTTGCCACATCAGACGAGTGCTGCCTGATAACTTTTCTATGGCTGCATGATATTCAGCAAACATTGGGTTATCATCATAGGTCTAGAACAGATGCACCTTTCCTACTGATTTTGAAAAGTTACTTATTTTTTAAACAGACTTAATTTTTATAATAATTTTAGATTTGCAGAGAAATTGAAAAGATAGCATAGAGTTCTGATATCCCATGCACCCAATTTCCGCTATTATTTGCATCTTATGTTATCATGGTACATTTGTTACAATTAATGAATCCATGTTGATATATTATCATTAACTAAAATCCATATTTTATTCAGATTTCTTCAGTTTTTACTCAATTTTCTTTTTCTGTTCCAGGATACCACATTACATTCAGTTTTCATGTAAGTTAGGCACCTCTTGTCTGTGACAGATTCTCAAACTTGCCTCGTTTTTGATGACCTTGACTGTTTTGAGGGGTTCTTGTCAGGGATTTTCATTTTTCTTTTCTTTCTTCCTTTTGTTTGTTTTTTTTTTTTGGTGAGGAAGATTGGCCCTGAGCTAACATCTATGTCAATTTTCCTCTGTTTTGTATATGGGATGCCACCACAGCATGGCTATGTAGGTCTGCGCCTGGGATCCGAACCCACGAACGCTGGGCTGCCAAAGTGGAACACATGGACTTAACCACTACACCACTGGGCCGTCCCTGAAGGTCAGGAATTTTCTAGAATACCCTTCTAATGGAATTTGGTTTGTGTGTGTATTCATATTTGACTGGAGTTATAGCTTTGGGGGAAGAATACCACAGAAGTAAAATACCATTTTCATCACATCACACCCACAGTAGACACACTGTCAACAAGATTTATCACTGTGGATGTGGACTTTGATCACTTGGCTAAGGCAGTGTTTGCCTGGTTTCTCCATTGGAAAATTACTCATTTTCACCCCTTTCTATACGGTACGCTTTGAAAGGAAATCACTGCGAACAGCCCACATTTAAAGCTTAGGTATGTACCCTGTCCTTGAGGATGGAGTATCTACATAAATTATTTGAAATGCTTCCACATGGAAGATTTTCTCTTCTCCACTATGATTTATTATTCAATCTATTATTATTATTTATTTATTCAATCACTTATTTCATCAGTATGGACTCACAAACATTTATTCTGTTTGGAGGGTTATAATCCTATAATTTCTTCTGTCGCTCAAATTGTTCCAGCTATGGCCACTGGGAGCTCTTTGACTTGGCTCCTCTGTCCCTTTGCCATACCCCCATCAGTGTAATTTTTTATACCATTTTCTTAGTTAACTGCACTGCACAATGTCCCAGGTTCCCCTTGTATATTGCTGCCTCAGTCCTAGAAACACCCATGTCTGCAAGAAGCCCTGGTTCCTTTCAATGGAGAATGATACCAGACACCAAAAGAGACCAAAAGGAGAGAAAAGCCTGGGATTAGACAAATGTCCCATGAAGGTCAGAGAACCTCAGTGGGGCAAACACATCACACATAGTAACAGTCATGTAAGTATTTGTGTTACTGTTGGGGAAGGGGAGGGGCAGGTAGATAAACACCGTTGGGAGGCAATGGAGGAAAACTCCGGGATGCTCTTCCCATGGAGGATGGGTGTGCCCCTCCCATCTGCAGGGTGTGTGGGCATCAGCAGGACATGTCCAACTGAGGCTGTAGAGAGGGAGAGGGTCTTGCATAATATTTATACTATTTATATACATTTATGCTTATATTTATATTTATTTATATATTTTTACATAAAAATGCATACTTAAAAGAAAATTAGAAGTCTAAATTTTTAAAAAGGAGATTTCATATAGAAAGCCAAATTTCTTCATCCATTCATCTGTTGGTGGACACTTACGTTGTTTACACATCTTGGCGGTTGTTTCCACATAATGCTGTGATAAATGTAGGAGTGCTTATGTCTCTTTGAGACCCGGATTGTAATTCTTTTGGACACATACTCAGAAAATAAACGGATGAAGAAGTGTGGTATAAACACGCAATGGAATATTATTCAGCCTTAAAAAAGAAGGGCATTCTGCAGTATGGGACAACCTGGATGAACCTTGAGGATTTGATGCTAAGTTAAATAAGCCAGTCACATGAGGACAAATACTGCATGAATCCACTGATGGGAGGTGTCATATGACAAAAATAATACAATTTAGTAAGGAGTTTGATGTCCTTTATTCAAGGGCAGACACTCCTTGGACCGGGGAGAGCAGAGCCTCACAGCAGTGGGGCACTCTTCCTGACAGACTTTGGGCGAGAGCAGGTTTTGTAGAGTGTTAGAGGAGGTACCTCGGAAACAGCCTGACTGGCCAGGACGTCGGGGGTTTCCTTGTAAGGGAGCAGGCCCTGTCCTCTAGCGTCCAGTGAGCGAGCTGACCCTGAGCTGCGGAAGTCAGATGAGCGTCTGTTAGGATTCTTTGACAGGTGTTCCTGTGAGTGCGGGTGGACTCAGGTGTGGATTTGTGACGTGGGCTGGGCCACTGGTGGGGAGGGGCTGCTATTTGGTGGATCCTGATGTATGAATTGACTTTATCAGAGGTATCTAAAACAGTCAAATTCGTAGAATCAGACAGTAGAGTGGTGGTTGCCAGGGGCTGGGGGAAGGGAGGAATGGGAAGCTACTAATGAATAGGCATAAAATTTCAATCAATCAAGAGGAATCAGTTCCACACTGTACCTGTAGTCAACAATACCCTATTGTGCACTTAAAATTTGGTAAGGGGAAAGAGCTCATGTCAAGTGTCCTTACCACAAAAATAAAACTGAAAGAAAAAAAAAAAGACGACCACAATTCTGGCCTCTGCTGAGGGGTTGGGAGACTTGGCCTCTTGGGGGCTGAATAGCTGGATGGTGGAGGGTGGGAGTGAGTGGACAGGATGTTGGCTTATTATCTAGGCTGCTGCTTTTAGAAACTGCTCTATGTACTCCCTTTCTCAAAATGCTCCCTCCAGAAACAAAGTAGCCCAGATGAGAGCAGTGTGCTGGCAGCTTCTTGGTTGCTAACGTTGTCACAAAGCAACTTCCAGCAACATAAATTTGCTTTTATAATACCTCTCCTACAATGGGTGCTGCAGAGTCTATAAAGAGACACACAGGACAAACACTCCCAGGGGAAAAAATAAGAAGAAATAAAAAAAACTTTCCCCAGTATCACAAATAAGTGATTTTTCTTGTTGTTTTGCTTTGCCTTCAGAAATAGTTATCAGCTCACAGAATCAAGCATTTTTGAGGCAATGAATTCCCCAGCATGGGGGCATAATGAGAGAAGCGATAACCGCCTGCGGCTGACTATCTGATTTTTGAGGCAGAAGAAAAGCTGAAATGAGGGGATAAAGTGCCTATCCTGTCGTGTAAACAGACAGAATTAGAGAGGAAAGTGTTTATGTCCTGTGAAGTCTAACGGCCGCTGAAGTGGAGGCTGTTATTTGAGAAGAAGGGCCTTGCTGCTAATGGCCGCTCTGCTCATCTCCCTGCTCGGCAGCTGCTCAGATTTAACAAGACTGGAGAGAGCAGAGTCCTGCCTGGTGATGGAGGATTGTCAAGGCCGTGAGGGCTGGGGCTTCTGACGGCTTCTGCGGCACTGAGCAACTGGAAGTAGCTCCATGCTGAGAAATCAGGTCTGTGTGGGAAATAACAACAATGCCGACAGCAGCCCATGCTCTCCCCAGAGCTGATGGCATGCCGGAGACTGCTTGTGACACTGTGATTTATAAGAAATACATATTTGGTCCTCCTCTATGGTTCCTGGCTCACAGCTCCCAAAACTCTTGGAATTTTCTAAGTGATAAAAGCAATATGAGCATCTTTTGCTATAATATTTGGTCTTTTGTCCTCAGTTCAGAGTCAGGAAGGTGAAGTGGGTGTTTTGTTATTCATAACAAGCCCCTTTCAACCTAGCCTTGTTCCCTAAGTCTGGTGAGTCATATTTTCTCTGTCCTCCCATAGAGCTGTGCTGAATTCCATGGATCTCTTCTTGTGTTAATAGTAACAATCACTCCTAAATTCTAACAAGTGCTTACTGTGTGCTGCCTCAAGCCAAACAGCGTGTGGGATTTCCCTCAGCGCATACCAACCACACGAGAGTGGGCACCGGCCCGCTTTGCAGGTGAGGAAAATGCGGATTACCCTTGTCTAAGTCAGGGAGAAGCAGAGCCACGGAACTAGCTTTGTTTCATCCTGGAGCTCAGCCAGGGGCTCCCAAACCCAGCTGCACGTGGGATTCACCAGGGGCTCTTCAAAATATGTGGATTCCTGCCTCCAGCTCCAGGGCATTGTGATTTAGTTGCTAAGGGTTGAAACGGGGCACTGAGATGCTTAAAAGCTCCCCAGTTGCTTCTACTGTGCAGCAAAGTTCGGGAACCACTGACTCATCCTCTTGACCCTGTAGCTGCCCCTCTGGAGCCTGTATCTTCCACTTGAGTGAAAACCAGTTGAAGGCAAGAGACATGGTCTTTGTCTTCTGGGTTCTGGGCAGGAAGCAGCAATTCAGCTCCCAGTCAACCCTGCTCTAGTGCTGAAGGTTGAAGAAATTGGTGAATGGGTCAGCGAGCGGGCACGTTGGACCAGCAGAGGAGCCAAGTCCTTTCATTTCACTCTGTACGGACCCACAGTTGACGGAAAATTGAGGGTGTTTAAAACATCTTAAAGGTGGTTACGCTCATTCTGGTTTGTTTGATTCCCAGGCCCACCCGGGAGAGTGAGGACGAGGAGGACGAGCAGAGGAAGGGGAGGGGGTGCTCCCTGCAGTACCAGCACGCCACGGTGCGCGTCCTCACCCAGTTCCTGGCAGAGTCGCTCAACCTAGCTCAGCTGAGCTACATGCTGGGCCCCGACTGGCAGTTTGACATCACTGACCTGGTGACGGATTTCATGAAGGTGGAGGAGGCGAAAATTGCCCAGTTACAGGATGGCAGGACCCTGGTGGGTTGGGAGCTGGGAATCACCACTATGCAGACACTTCCTCCAAATACCCAACCCATTATTTGTATGTGTCCAGGTACAAGTTAGTGTTAGGTAATTCTGTGCATGTGTGTGTTTGTGTGCATGAGAGAGAAAGTAATGAAAAACAAGACACAGGATTCATCAATCTTCATACCTCATATTCAGAAATTAATTTTTAATTTAGGAAGCACAGAAAAGCTTTTGCAAATTAAAGACACTCTTGAGATCAAGTATTTTTTACCAGTGGATGCTAAGTTGAGACAGACAATGCAAGCAATCTTATTTCCCTGACATCCATAGTTCTCAACCCCAGGACGCTTGGCCATGTCTGGACACATTTTGTTGTCATATTCATTTTTACTTGCTTCCATAATTTCTCGCTTTCTCTTTTCTTATACTATTATTGAAAATATTTCATAGCTAATTTTAATAGGACAGCTGTGAAGAGATTATACAACAGGTCATTCATTATCTTTATAAAATGTTCAAATATTTTGATCACATCACAGTTTAGGTTTTGCCCAAATGTAATTTTACAAAAGCTGGTTTATTGATACTACATTAGTCCAGTCTGCATCATCTCTGGTGGCAGATCACTGTTTTACGAGATGAAACAGCTTCCCAAGGCCTTAAGATTCCCTTTTCCACTGTGTTTTCCTGGTGAGCTCAATGATGCCACATGGACCTATAATTATTGCTTTATGAACATCTAACTACTCAAAAAGAATGAATTTAAGCAGAGGAGAAAGTCTAGACAGTGTTGAGGAGGAAGAAATTTTTCTCTACCCTTCTAGGTTCTTTCTGGCTAGTCGAAGAATTAAATTGATGTGAGACAGATGAACGGGAGAAAATTAAATTTAATTTCGCACATATGGGAACGCCAAAGATATGAGGTTCCTTGACAGTCAGGCAACTGAGGTCTACATGCTATCCTGAGCTCAGGAGAAGGAGGCAAGGGTCTGGGATTTCAGAGGGGAGGAAGGCAATTCACAGGAAGAATGAAAAGAGTAAGTGTTTGCCAGAAACACAATGTTTGCCATGCCACACAGAGACAATGGGACATGGAGAGGACTGTGATCCAACAGGCCTTGCTAAGATTCCCCTCCAGCACCACACCTGGCTCGTATGCTTTGTAGACATCTCTGTGATGGCTCTTCTTCCTGGAACACGCCCTTTATCTAAATTCTTTTAGGCAGTTAAGGGAGAGATAAAAGAAAAACTTTCTGAGTCTTTCTGTTTCTTAAAAATAATCAGCTTAAAATAATTCTCATGCCGGAAAGACACATTTTGGGGTGGAAAATTTTGCTTCCCTACAACACCATTTCTCTAAATGTTTGTCGTAAAATCCTGCAATTGTCAAAATGTAAATATTAGTTTTGAGAAAGATGTTATGTTTAATGTGCTTTAATAGGCCAACATCATCAGGGAGATAATTTTCTTTGATTTTTAAGTATCGTCACTATATTAAATCAAACCCTTTGAAGAAAATAAATAATTAACATGTATAAATCAAAGGAAATAAAATATATTAGGCTGATATATATTTATAATTCCTTGTGTTTTTAATTGGTGGTTGTAATTGACCATTTAAAAAAGTGTTTTTTCTAAACCATTTCAACAAGTTATCCTCGCCTAAGACCATCTGTCCTAACACCACCGGATACAAATCTATTGTCTGACAGTCAGGTTCACTGACCTGTTGCTATTGGGGAGGCCACACCCGGAGGAACTATGGGACATCATAACAAACAAAAGAAGAGACAGAGTTACTACAGGATCTTGGGAAGGGTTGAGTGTAGGTAAGATTTTAGTAAAGCAGAGTGTGGGTAGCTCATAGTGACGCAGGGCAGCCAGCATCAGTCTGGAGTGTGAAGTGGACCCAGGGTCCTGCTTGCTTGTGACACACAAAATTCACAGGGATGGTGATGCTGTGACAGAAACCTCTTATCTGGAATCCTGCACTTGAGTTGGAAATCAGACTTGTTTCTCTGTGTCCAAGTGAGTTAGAGCCTTAGGGCAAGAGAGGAATGTTCATTCTTCCCGACATGATTTCAAAGAGCAAGGTTTTTGATCATCTTTGCTTTTAGAGAGCAGTGTTTCTCAGTGAGTAAAAATGGTGGTAGTCACCCGAAGAAAGGGGTTGTCCTGACATGACAGCTGTAGCTTGTCCTTGGGAGGAAGATCATTTCCTGCTAACTTCACAGGCAGCTTCACCTGGATCTGTTACTGCAGCCTGATGAAGGGGAGGGCAGGTATTTGCTTCGTGGTCTGAGCTAGGTTCTACCTTCTCGAGGCGTTCATTCAGTAGCAAACTGAGAGCACACTTTAGGGGTTTAAAGTGATTGTGGCAAAGTTATGATTGAAGAGAAAACATTCATCTCATTATAAAGATCCATTTTCTTTTGAAGCTTTCTCTCTTCCTTGGAAGGTCCTCTCGCCTCTCTCTGACTCCATCCTGGCTGAGAAGACCGTGATCGTTCTGGACGACCGTGTCACCATCGTGGACCTGGGCGTGCAGCTGGTGACTGGCATGTCCCTTTCCCTGCAGCCTCAGAGAGTGGACAAAAGAGCCATCGTCTCAATGGCAGCCGCCCAGAACGTTCTCCAAGCCCGACAGCAGGTGAGGTTCCAGAGTCCTTTTGTCCCTGCTCAGTTGAGACAGCTTGTCTCTCCCTCACATCCTGCAAAGGAGATCAGTAGAGCCCTCACAGCTAGGACTGGCGATTCTTGAGGCTTCTTCCTGCTTCTTATCCAGTCCTGTCTCTGAGAAAAGTGCTCAGTGGCTTAGATACATTTTCCTTAGATACATTTCATGTACAATATATGCTTTTATATATTGACCACGTGTCCAAATGCCATTTTGCAGTGGTTATCCACCACTGAAGGATCGCATGTTTCCGTTTTTCTAAAAAAAGTAATATTATACTTGAAAATACTATTGTAGCTATTCAACCAAGTATGGCTAACAGGCAACAGAGAGCGGTTTACATTAACTATGGGCAACTTTAAACCTCTGCTCCATCTTTAAATTTGTAACAAATCTGTTTAAATTATATCAAAGTCATTGTGTCTTTCAAGCATGCCAGTCCCCATAATGCATCTTTTCTCGGATACTTCAAGCCGAGCCTGTCTTTCTAATGAAACATGCTTGGAGTGATATTATCTCGAGCACTAGCTTGATTAGCTGCACCTGAAATTGATTCAGATGCATCTTGAGATCTTTCAAAATCTTTTTGGAAAATTCAAAGTCAAATTCTGTTATATGACATTCAATAAGTTAATATACTCAGGACTGCACTCATTAAAGTGTATAAATTTGTTCCTCACACCAGTGGGGTTACAGCACATTATTATGGCAGTTTAATGTATGACAGAAACTGCTCCAGATTTTAAAACACAGGAGTTTATTTTTCTTGGCTTGTGCATTGGAAACATATTTTATAGGAAACCACGTTTGTGAACATGCTTAGAAATTTGAAGAAAACAAATTATAACACAATGCTTTGGTTTCGTTCTTTTCTTAGTTCTTGGAATTTGTTCAGTGATGGTTCAATGACACCCTTAGACATTTATGATCCTAAGAATTTTTTCCATTACTATACTACCTCATCATGGGATGAAATGATGGTGTCTGTGCAAGCAAACTTCCAGTCCAAATGGTCAGTTGTGGTGGCAGAGGGTGAAGAGCAAGGACCCTTGATTAAATTAGAAGTGATGATTAGTGAACCTTGTCAGAAGACCAAGAGGAAGAGTGTTCTTGCCATGGGTAAAGGAAATGTCAAGGTCAAATTTGAACCAAATATTGATGATCACCAAGGAGGCACCAGTGATATTTAGGGCATAAATCGTGAATATAAAGACCACCTCAGTCACTCCACAGAGGGTGAAGGAAACCAGGAGAGAGCGGTTCAGGAATGGTTCCAACATGGCACCTCTGTTGGCCAAGAGGAAGCTACCAACAAAAGCACAATCCCACAGTCTCCCATGGAAGGAAAGGATAAGAAATTGCTCAAGAGTGGTGGTCCAGTGGCTCGGGAATGAAGTGGAACTTTTGGAGAACCCCGTGGACATTACACTTCCATCGGAGGAGTGCACAACCATGATAGACAGGGGGCTGCATTTCGAGGAGAGGAACTTCCTTCTGAACGGCGTTTCCAAGAAGCCTTTCATAGTCAACTGCTCAGACCTTCTGACTACGTCTATGAGAAAGAAATTAAAAATGAACCTATAAATCCATCGGGCCCAAAGAGGAAGAGAGTCAGGTTTACTTCCTACACCACCATCCTCCCCGAGGATAGCGGCCCATACACCAACTCCATCCTGTTTGACAGTGATGACAACATCAAGTGGGTCTGCCAAGACATGGGGCTGGGGGACTCCCAGGACTTTAGAGACTATATGGAGAGACTGCAGGACCAGAAGTAAACTCCTTCTTATGTTCCTATTCACCTTTATGCCTTCTGTTTTCTGAGTGGGGGAGCAGTGAGTTTGATCAGCAATAGGGGATGACTTAACAAAGCTTCATTTGTGGAGGTCTGGGGATCTCTTTCTAAGTGGGTATCAGAGGTCTGGAGGGCTATAGCAGCTGGGTTATAAGCCAGGATGTGTCCCTAGACAACTGCAAGTAGGGACTGGGAAGGTTGTAGAACAATGTTTTTACACACTTACTGGGAGCAGCCCAGCGCTATTACCATGAACCTAGAACTCATGGATGTTACTCAGGGTAAACAGCCACGTAGAATTAGAAAGGATTTGGGAGCTGGTTTTCTGTTCTTAGTCCTTTGTGAAGCACAGTTACTCATCCGTGGCCTGAGAGCAGACATATGTAAAACATGGATGTAGCCGCCCTCATTTGTGGTGAGCACTGCTCTTGCTTTGATGCACATATGGAAAACGCTGAGACTGAGGTGCAGCTGGGTGCCAGGGGTGTGCACTGCACAAGACTGAAAGCAAGTGCCTCCTTAAATTTTGTGCCCTTGGCTCCTCATTCCCCTCATCCTAGTCCCTGCCCTACATATGCATCAACAGCTAGTTTCTTTGGCTTCTGGAATTCTTTTGGAAACATAAATAGGAAAAAAAAAGTATTTTTTTCAAGATCAGTTTGATGGCGTAAGTTTTATTCCCTGGGATCTGTCGTGTCGTGTCACTTGTTGGAGTCCATGCTAGGTGTTGGTTTTCCCCACTTCTCCTCACTTGAGTGTTTAGGGGTGGCCCCTCAATTCTTATCCCTACTTTGTCTTTCCAAGTTTTCCTTATTGAAATATCTTGTAACTGAATTGGACAAGAGGTTTTATTTAACATACGAGTATCTATAAAAGAATGCTATTTAACAAATAAGTTTTACATGGAACTTTTTTTTTATATGAATTTTGGGGAAATGTTGAGAGCCACCGACATGCTTTTTTTTTTCCTCTGGTAGTTGTAACTTCATGGGGAACTAATGGGGTTCATTTCTGGGGGTACAATGTGTCAATTAAACTATTTTTATCTGTATTTATGCAAGCATTGTATGAGCATCATTTTTTAGTATCCATCCTAAATAATTTAAAAATGGGTTAACATGCACAGAAATAAAATTGCCTAGGAAACAGCTGTAGATGAGGCTTGCCACTTGCCTGAATAAAAGGAAAGAGAAATAAACAGAACGATATGTCAGTCTAACAGTATGTAGACACCCATCTATACGATGACCAGTAAAACATTCACAGTTGTTTTTCTGGCAGAAACAAAACATTCATGGAATGCACACTAAGGGAGAAACAACTGGTGTTCACACTCATGCACACACACAACCACAACGGGAGATGGCTCTTCCAAGATCAAGAAGCCATCGTTAGGAGAAACACAGAGACGGTAAATCAGTGGCAAAGAAGAAAGAAATTGCACGTGACATGATTCTTGTATAACTTATAAAATATAAAATGCTACTGGGTGAACCACGGGCATGGTCTGAAGCAAAGCAAGAATTCAAGGATAGGAAGGTTTAATACAATTTTTATTGTATTAAGATGGAACAGCTGCTGAAATGGATATCGGGCTAGAATGGCCCATCCTCGTCTCTGCTGAGCCATTTCGTCTCTAAGAAATAAGCTTTTTTGGAAGATAAAATAAAAACTTTCATTTTTCTTATTCTCAGTGATAGAACAGATAAGTTGTTCAAAATAATAGTATCAATAATGTATCCGATTATGCACGCTATGGATAACTGAGATGAATGACAGCAGTGAAACAAGGGACAGGAGGGAGGAATTATGATTTTTTTACTTTTTTATTTTTAAGCTGGATCTATAATGTTTTATTTCTTTAAAAGAGACAGATCTTAAGCAAAAATGGCAAAGCTAGCGTCTTACATTTCTGTGGTCTGTACGTTGGCATCTCATTATTATTCTATAATTTCAAATTTATTTCATAATACAAATTTTAATATGAAAGATAGATCTTAGCACAGCGCCCAGCATCCAATGACTCCTCCAGAACTGTCAGCTACTATTCTGACGCTGTCCTCCCATGCCACACCCTTACCTGGACAATGCTCTCTCTCCTGGCTCTGTTCTCTTAACAATGTGGGGGATGTCTTATTCTTTTTGACTCAGTTTATGGAAACTTCTATCCTGGCTGCTCACAGCTAGCTCACATAACCTCAAGGGTAGAACTTGCATGTCTGAGGACCAGATCTAAGAAATGGAACTTTAAGGAGCAGGAGTTGGAAGGTCCTTGACTCCCAATGGCTGAGGACTCAGGTATTCCAAAGACAGCACAGCTATCCTCTTGTCACCGCTGTCCGTGGGGGAGCATCCCCGCCAGCTTCCTCTAAGTTCTCATTACATTAGCAGCCTAAGCATTCTCCCTGGATCTCTTGTCCCTGCGACTGTGGTCTGTTTGTGGACGGGGTGAAAATCCCTGGTGATGTGGGCGTATCCCCGGAAGCTGGTCTTCCAAGTCCCATGGATGGTGCATGTTATCGTAAAGGTTGAGAAGTGAGTCTGGGAAAGCTTGATTTGTTTCTTTTCAATTTGACAGTAGAATGAAACCAAGACACCCGCATCATTTGACATAAAAATAAAAGACACCACAGTGAGGACATAGAATCAAGTCCTCCTGTAAGGGCCTCTAAGACGTTGCCCTGAAGGTGTGAGCATGGTGACTTCAAAAAAAAGGACTCATTTACCTCTGAAGTGTTCTGTTAGGAAAGAGGAGGAAATTTATGTTATCTTTCTGAAACCACTACCTGTCATCTCTGCTGCACGTGGCCCAATGGGTCCCATGAGAGAGGAAGGAGCCCCTTGTTTTATTAGGGGAATCACCAGTGATTGTGCAGAGCCACCGTGGAAATGACTGCTGTAATAGACACAGGTGATGGCAAGTCCAAATATGGGTACTTCCCAGGTGATGGCAAGTCCAAATATGGGTACTTCCCAGGCCACTTCCACCCTCCAGACCCTGGACTCAAATTGTGGTCCGTTCCAAAGTCCTGCTTCCTTTGCAACATCTGTCTATCTTATTCACTGTTTTCACCATTAGAACAGAAATGGGAGCTTATTGTAAAATATCTAGAAAACGTGTGCATATATAAACAAAAAAATAAAATGGCCAGAAATAACCACGAACAACAACAACGACAAAGATTATTTAAAAGACGGCTAGCTGGTGTAGGAAGAGCTTTTCTGTGAGCCAGGAGATAACTCCAAGGATTTCCACAGTGTTCAGTGGAGAGGGGGCCCCATGTTGTAGAGAGAAGTACATGCTAATTCAAACATAATTATTTAAATGAAGTCTGCTCCTTCTCAAAGTTACTTTCAATGTTATCTCCATTTGATACTTGACATTTGGCCCAGGCGTAATGGGAATTCATTTCTGAAATAGAAGCATCATAACTCAATTACAGGATGAGTCACACAGTCAGCCAGGCCTCTTCCCCCGAAAAAAACACTGTAGAGTTTGGGGGGGGGGTGAGGGGGCTTCACTGTGGGTGGGGAGATGACGGATATCAGCGTAGTGATGAGGAGCCTGTTTCCAGCAGTGTGCAAAATACACAGTTCCCGCGGCAAGAGTGCTTGGCTTTGTCCAAGAAGCAAACTCAGAGAATGAAATGTGGCAGAGGTTCTCATTAGAGCCGGAAACCACCGCCTCCCTGAAGAGGGCTTTGTGAAGAGAGGTGACCTAGAGTCTGTCAGGGAGACACTGTCACTCCCGGGCAGGACGTTTGTTCCTTGAGCTAAAACTCAGTCGACTCAAAGTGAAGAGCCGAACACAGGGCTGGGATCCCTTTTCCAAATTTTCCAAACCACCTCCCTCTCTTGTGTGTGTGTGTGTGTGTGTGTGTGTGTGTGATATTTACTGAAAAGCTAAAGAATAAACATTTTAGTGTGAAACAATGTTGACTCTAAATTTTTCTGAGCTTTGGTCTTGACCCTCATCAGCTTAACAAAATCTCATTGGTGTCATATCTGCTCTAAAATTTTCTTGCTGATTAGAAAGCATGAGTTATGTTCACCCTTGGTTTTCATCTCCATAGCAGGCGTTGCATCCTAAAAGACATAAACCAGTGGGAAAATGGACCTGCTTTATTAGATTCTGAAATGCAGCTCCCTGGGAGTCATATGACGTTTGCCTGAATGGAGCAGAATTTTAGTGAATGAGATATCCAAATTGTTGATCTGAAAAAACAATTTCATCCAAAATGTGGTATAGGTAAAGTCCTTTCCTTCACTGCGGGATGGAAAGGCTTAGATTAATCCTCAGACAGGCTCTAGAATTCCTCTTGAGCACAGTCAGTTTTGCAAACACTCTGAGGTACAGAAGGTGTGGACGCTTCAATAAGACCACACCACCCACAACTTTTGAGAATGTGAGATGTCGATCCCCATGGTCTGGATATGCTGTTTTAGAGGCCCAAACACGGGGATGCAGAAGCAGCGGCCACAAGAAAGGATGAGTTTAAATCCGTAGGTGCATTAAGCCGGGAGAAAGCAAGAAGAGAAGACACTTGAAGTTTTCCTTGGGAATAAACGGCACCTCGCCAACCCCAGGAAACACAGGGG